AAATAAATAAATAAATAAATCATCAGAAGAGCTTTCCATAGGTACTACTTATTTTTGAAACAGCTTCATTGAGGTATCACTGACATACAATCACTGCACATATTTAAAGTGTGCAGTTTGGTATTTTGACATACACACACACCTGTGAAATCATGGCCACAATCAAAATGGTGAACTTTTCCATCATCCACAAACATTTTCTCCTACCTCTTTGTAATTCCTTCCTTCTACCACTTCTGCCCCTCCCCTCCTCAGGAACACATTGTTCTACTCTGTCACTATAGAATGTCATGTCATTTTCTAGACTTATTCAGTATGTACTCTTATGTCTGGCTTTTCATTCAGCACAGTTATTTCTAGAGTCATCAGAGTTGTTAAGGTAAGAATAGGTCTTTCCTTTCATTGCCAGGTAGCGTTCTTTTTTGTGTGTACCACAATTTGCTAATGCATTTAGCTATTAATGGACATATGGCTTGTTTCCAGTTTTGAGCTATTACAGGTAAAACTGCAATGAACAGTGTATGTGTACCAGTCTTTAGATAAACATATATTTCCTTTTTCCTAGGGTAGATACCTAAGAGTAGCATGATTGAATTGTATGGTACTGAAGAGTAGCAGATTAGCCTCACTAAAATGTAAGTCCTTGGCATAAGGATTATTCTGAGCTCATTACTTTGAGAAAGAGGAGACACAGCAAAGCTCTGAAAACAGAGTAGAGGTTACCTTTCTATAAGGGAAATACATATTTATAAAGGAAACCTCCTTTTGGAAGGATATCTTTTTATCTGCCCAAAAGAGGATGACTAAATCACAAGAAGGTTTTTTTAATCAATGGAGAAAGAACTGACTTAAATCTGCCTAACAAACTTCCCCTTGTTTACCATGTTTCTCTCAGTAACCTTTCCATAACTGGTCTAACAGCACCTTTCTTTCTTTTGTCCTTAGCTGAAGATGGTATCTGAGCTGGAGTTCTAAGCCACCATGGAGAGTTACTCATTTTTTCATGGGCTATCTCCCATGTATATGTGAAGTATACATGTTAATAAACTTTTATTTGTTTTCCTCATATTAATCTGTCTTTAATTATAGGAGTTTTAGCCAAGAACTCAGAAGGGTAGAAGGAGGGACACCTGGGTGGCTCAGTTAAGTGTCTGCCTTCAGTTCAGGTCATGATCCCAGTGTCCTGGGATCAAGTCCCACATCGGGCTCCTTGCTCAGCAGGGAGCCTACTTCTCCCTCTGCCTGCCACTCTCCCTGCTTGTGCTCTCTCTCTGACAAATAAAATTTTTGAAAAAAAAAAAAAGTAGGGTAGAGGGAAAATTATTTTTACTTCCCTACAGTAAACATATGCTATCATTGGCATTGACCAGCAGGTTGACGGACTCTATGACATCGATCAAGACCTAATTCTTCTTGTATTTGATGCCTTCGGAGCACCAGGACACAGTGTTGGTGACGGTGGGCGGCACCCGTGATTTGCCGGTCTCCAGCTTGTTGCCCTGCTGCATGATGTACTCCTGCAGGATCTTGCTGTCCATGATCTGTGGGAAGCCAAAGTCCATGAGCTCATCCAGCAGCTCATAGATGATGACAAAGTTGTCTCGGATGCTCTCCTCCTCCAGGTCCTTGAAGTACTCCGAGAATACCTTGACCATCTTGTAGAGGAAGGAGTACACGAGGGAGGCGTTCAGGTTCTTCAGTGTGGTGGCCACCAAGTAGAGGTTGCTGTGTTTGATCCACAGGAAGTGGACCTAGCCATGGCTCAGCAGTGGGGCCAGGGCGCCCTCTTTCTCCCGCTGCATGAGCAGGGAGGCATGAAGTCCTCGATCTCACTCATGGCAATATCACCCTTGTAGTTGTGACTGATCAGGGGCTTGCCCTTGACGTCGAGGATGAAGACAGCCAAGGCGGACATGGTGGCAGCTGGTGGACCCGGGAGGCAGGGAGTGATAGCACTATTTTTTTAAAAAGCTATTCTTTGGGGTGCCTGGGTGTCTCAGTCGGTTAAGCATCTGCCTTCAGCTCAGGTCATGATCCCAGCATCCTGGGATCGAGTCCCAAATCAGGCTCCTTGCTCGGAGACTACTTGCTCTTTGCGGGGAGTGTGCTTCTCCCTCTGTCTGCTGCTCTCCCTGCTTGTGCTCTCTTTGTCAAATAAATAAATAAAATCTTAAAAAAAAAGAAAAGAAACCTCTTCTAACTGGTCAGGCTTGACTAGTGAGAGAAGTAATTAAAAAAAAAAAAAAGCTATTCTTTGTCCACTGAAATGCCTTTGTCAAAGCTCAGTTGTCTATATACAGGTCAGTCTATTCTGGACTTTCTATTATGTACTATTGATACAGTTATTTCTATTTACTTCTATAGTATGTTTTATTTTTTAAAAGATTTTTATTTATTTGACAGAGAGAGACACAGCGAGAGAGGGAACACAAGCAGGGGGAGTGGGAGAGGGAGAAGCAGGCTTCCTGTGGAGCAGGGAGCCTGATGCGGGGCTCTATCCCAGGACTCTGGGATCACGACCTGAGGCTTAACCAACTGAGACACCCAGGTGCCCTGACATAGTGTGTTTTAATTATAAAGATTAATGTGTCTTAAAATCCAGTAGTATTTACCC